TCTCAGCTTACTGCAACCTCTGCCTCCTGGGTTCAAGCAATTCTCCTCCCCGAGCCTTTCGAGTAGCTGGAACTACAAGTGCGCACTCTCACCTGGCTAATTATTTTTGTATTTTTAGTGGAGATGGGGTTTCACCCTGTTGGCTGCTCTAAAAGTCCTGACCTCAAGTGATTTGGCCCCCACACAACTTTTTTAGTTAAAATTGTTGTTGAGATAAAATTCACATAACGTAAATTTACCGTTTTAATCATTTTATAGCAATACTACAATTTAATAATTTTTAGCATATTTACAATGTTGTAAAATTACCACTGTGGCCGGGCGCAGTGGCTCACACCTGTAATCCCAGCACTTTGGGAGGCCAAGGCAGGCGGATCATTTGAGGTCAGGAATTCCAGACCACTCTGGCCAAAATGGTGAAACCTCATCTCTACTGGAAAAAAAATAAATAAACAGGCCAGGCATGGTGTCACGTGCCTGTAATCTGAGCTACTCGGGAGGCTGAGGCAGGAGAATTGCTTGAACCTAAGAGGCGGAGGTTGCAGTGAGCTGAGATCATGCCACTGTACTCCAGCCTGGGCAAAAGAACAGAGTGAGATTCCGTCTCAAAAAAAGAAATACAAGAGTGAACATTCCTGTCTCCTTTCTGATCTTAATACGGAAGCTTTCAGTCTTTCACCATTATGATGTTAGCTGGGAGCTTTTTATTTTTGTCAGGCAGAAGAAGTTCCTAGTTCCTAGAAATTCCTAGTTTGTTTAGTGTTTTTATCATAAAAGAGGGTGTGGATTTTGTCAAATGCTTATTTTACATCTATTGAGATAATCTGGTGGGTTTTTTCCTTTTATATTCTGTTAACAATGGTGTATTACATTGTAATGATTACATTGTAATGGTGTATTATGTTGATTGATTTTTGTATGTTGAACCAACATTGAGTTCCTGGGATAAATCCCACTTTGCCTTTTAATATGCTGTTGAATTTGGTTTGATAGCATTTTGTTGAGCATTTTTGCATCTGTCCACAGAAAAGATATTAGTCTGTAGTTTTCTTGTGATGTCTTTGTATCAGGGTAATACTAAGAATAAATTAGGAAGTGTTCCTTCCTCTTCTGTTTTCCCTTGCATTTTAAAATGGTTTTTTAATGTGTTTTGTATTTTAAACATGTATCGCTTAGTTTTACATGGTGGTGCTTGGTTGGTTTTGAGACAGTCCTCCTCTGTTGCCCAGGCTGGAGTGCAGTGGCACGATCATGGTTCACTACTGTGATAACCAGTGCCTCCCAGGTTCAGGTGATTCTCATGCCTCAGCCACCCGAATAGCTGGGATTACATGCGTGTGCTACCACATCCTGCTAATTTTTTTTTTTTTTTTTTTACACAGATTCTCACTCTGTCACCCAGGTTGGGGTGCAGTGGCACGATCTGAGCTCACTATAGCTTTCGCCTTCTGAGTTCAAGCAGTTATTATACCTCAGCCTCCCAAGTAGCTGAGATTACAGGCACGTGACACTACACCCAGATTTTTTTATTTTATTTATTTATTTTTTTTTTTTTGTATTTTTAGTAGAGATGGCGTGTTGCCCAGGCTGTTCTCAAACTCCTGAGCTCAGGCGTTCTGCCCGCCTCAGCCTCCCAAAGTGCTGGGATTACAGGCGTAAGCCATGGCACCCAGCCTTGATTTTCATTGTAAAGATTTTTTTCTTTTTTTACTTCTATTGAGTTTGCAGCAGTAAACAAACTCAAATTCCTATTTGCTTCTGCCTGCGCACCCAGCTTTTTTTATTATTTGGATCATTTCTATTTTCTGAGCGCATTTAACATACACGGTTATATGTATATGTTAGTTATATGTATATGCTATAGTAGCCCTATTTAACCTTATTTATAGGAGTAAATAGGTTTGAAGCAGTCTGCCAGTCCTTTTGCTGAGTTTTTTCCAATCATTTCTGAAGTTTGTACCCTATTATTTAAAAGGGGGTTGTACAAACAGTATTTCTTGAATTATATATATGTGTGTGTGTGTGTGTGTATATATATATATATATATATATTTTTTTTTTTTTTTTTAATATAACCTTAAGCCTGTAAAAATCATCGCAATCCAGCCTGGACACTATGATGAAATCCTGTCTCTATGAAAAATACGAGAATTAGCCAGGCATGGCAGCATGCCCTTATAGTTCTACCAACTCAGAAGGCTGAGGTGGGAGGATTAATTGAACCCAGGAGGTCGAAGCTGCAGTGAGCTGTAATTGTGCCACTGCACTCCAGCCTGGCCAACAAAGCAAGACCCTATCTCAAAAAAATAAGAATATTAATATTAATTTAGGCAATTACAAATATATATCAACATATGTGTATGTGTGTATATATGTACACATACATATAACTCCATATATATATGTATATATCCCTTATATTTGAAAGATACATATAAAAGCCTCAGTTAATACTTTCCTTAGATATCTTGCAGTATTTATTATACCACTGTCTTCTGGAATTGAGAGATTGTGTGAGTTTGAGTGTTTGTGTGTTGCTGAAGAGATCAAAGACTGGCCTGATCTTCTCCTCCTTGATGGTTTTTGCCTAGCTGTTGAAAGGAATCCGTCTTCAAGATTCAATAACTTTACTACACTATTGATTGTCACTGACTATTCTGGGACCATATTCATTGGCACACTGTGTTGTGTCCTTTCTTTTTTATTTGAGACGGAGTCTCTCTCTCTTGCCAGGCTGGAATGCAGTGGAGTGATCTTGGCTCACTGCAACCTCTGCCTCCCAAGTTCAAGCAGTTCTCCTGCCTTGGCCTCCTGAGTAGCTGGGACTCCAGGTGCCTGCCACCATGCGCAGCTAATTTTTCTATTTTTAGTAGAGTCGGGGTTTCACCATGTTGGCCAGGATGGTCTCTATTTCTTGACCTTATGATCCACCCGGCTCAGCCTCCCAAAGTGCTGGGATTACAGGCATGAGCCACCGTGCTTGGCCTTTTATTTTTTTCTGAGACAAAGTTTCACTCTGTCACCCAGGCTGGAGTGCAGTGGCATGATCTCAGCTGACTGCAACCTCCACCTCCCTGGCTCAAGTGATACTCCCACTTCAGCCTCCCAAGTAGCTGAGACCAAAGGCACATGACACCATGCCTGGCTAATTTTTTGTATTTTTGGTAGAGACGGGGTTTCACTGTGTTGCCCAAGCCGGTCTTGAACTCTTGAATTCAAGCAATCTGCCTGCCTTGGCTTCCCAAAGTGCTGAGATACAAGCGTGAGCCACCGCACCCAGTCCCAGCCTTTTCTTAGATTTGCCACAATTGGGCAGAACTTTTTGCTTTTGTCTGTGTGCATTCTTTGAACTGCAAATGTTTCCTCATCGCCCTCAACCCAAGCTCATCCCTTTGCACTTCCCAGATCTCAGAAGTTCTTGATGAGTGCAAAAGATACAGGTATATTACTTCAGAGGACCCTTTTATGTATAGGATATATGTTTTGCTATTTTCTGAAATTGCCACTTTTGGCTTTTTTGATACTGCTTAATTTTGCTTTGTGTGGCTTCTGCTACATTTCCCTCATTTGGGTTCTATAAAGAGCTTAACTTTCTTTCTGTGTGTTATTCATTCTCCAGATTATATCTGTTGCCCAGTTCTGAAAATGCAGTTGGTGGTGTTTTTTTTTAATTCACAATTTTGTTTTTATATGATACTCAAAAAGAAAATCAAAGCTGTTTTCCTATACTGCTACATTCATATTAGGCTGGTTCTGCTGTTTAAATTTGCAGCCAGGTGTGGGGGCGGACACCCGTAATGTCAGTACTTTGGGAGGCCAAGGTGGGAGGATCAGTTGAGCCCAGGAGTAAGTGACCAGCTTTGGCAACATAGTGAGACCTCATCTCCCAAAAAATACAAAAGTTAGCTATGTTTGCTGATACATGCCTATAGTCCCAGCTACTTGGGAGGCTGAGATGGGAAGATTGCTTCAGCCCAGGAGGTGAAGGCTGCAGTGAGCCATGATCTGTACTGCATTCCAGTCTGGGCAACAGAGAGAGACCCTGTCACCAAAAAAAAAAGCCATAAGTCATTTAATAGCCAAACAACCTGAAACTGTACAGGACTCTCAGAGAAAATTATTGTGAAGGATTAGATAGGGCAAAAATAGCAATATGCTATACATACTCACTTTTCAGTTTTAATAAGTCTATTCAAATTAGTTCAGTGCTGCCACTCCAGAAAATACAACCTGTTCTTGCTTATTGATTAAGTAGTTCCTTTGGGAGATGATAGAGCTGCTTTGAAACTATAGATATAGTCCTGTAGATCTAGTCTTCGAGATAACACTTATTTTTCTTAGATCAGTCTGCTAGAAGGAGTTGCTCATTATGAAAGTAATGTATCTGCCATGCTCTAAAAGTCTAGCAAGTAGTCACCTAGCATTCCTCTCCCTTTCTCATCGTTCTGTGCAACATTAGCAAATGAATATACTCAGCTTGCTTTGAGGTATCTTTTCAATTTTTTCTTTTTAAGGTATCTTTTTTTTCTTTTTATTTTCCCTTCCCCCAAAACAGAACATGTTTCACTTGAGGTATCTTTTGATGTCTAGTTTTTAAGTGGAACTGCTGAGGCAAATTGGACTGCCTTTGAGTCAGTCCCACAATTTGTGTTCTTGTTGTTGTTTTTCTCCACCCTCCTCTCACATGTAAGAATCCCACAGTTTTAAATCTAAGACCAGCAGATAACACATATCTGTGGATTGGCTTTCCAACCAGTGCAGCTTATATGGAGAAGGACCATAGAATATTTAACTCCATCATTGGCTACAGACTAGGTAATGCTTTTTGCCTTAGTGTCTAAAAACTAGAGTATTAATACAGGTTCAGTATCCCTTATCCAAACTGGTTGAGACCAAAGGTATTTCAGATTTCAGATTTTTTCGGGTTTTGGAATATAACGTTCACTTAAAGTTTTACCAAGTTCATTTTTTTGTTTCTTTGTATTTTGTGATTCTTGCAGGATTATGTTGACAAAGAAAAGGCAATTGCCAAAGCCTTGGAAGACCTCAGAGCCAACTTTTACTGTGAACTCTGTGATAAGCAGTATCAGAAACATCAGGAATTTGATAACCATATCAACTCCTATGATCATGCACACAAGCAGGTGAGTTATAGTTACTTGCTAACAGAGAAGAAGGTACCTTATCTATTGTTACAACGATTGAATTTTATGAGTATACCCCCAAAAGCTTGGTGTCTGTGATTTCTTGTGTCTCCCAGTCTTTATCTGCAGTCATCTGACACACTTCGTTTTTTCAGTAGCAGAAATCCTGACATAGACACCCCCTCAAGCCCACCACCCCCACATATACACTATTATTTGACGAATTGTGTTTATAAATCTTATATAATGTTTTTGCCTTTGATTGATTTCTAAGTTTTTATTTAATTTTGTAATTCAGCTGAGGGTCACTGGGAACTTTGTTTCCATTTCTGCTCTTAACATGTTAAACTTTTAAGAGTTATTCAGCAGACTGTGTTTTTTTGAACTTCCCTGTATAAGAGTTCATGCTTTATTGGCTACTGTTTTCTATTATTAAGTCATTTTGTTATTCAGTGTACCTTGGAAGTTAGATAAATCTTCAGAAGGAAAATAAAATTAGATGCTATCTTAACTTTAACAAAAAACTCTGATGCTGCATGTTGAAGAGTTGATAAATGAATTACACTTTCTTTGCAGTCTTTGCCTTCACCCCCTGGCCGCCACCCCATCATTTTAGAAAAGAAAATTGTACCTAACCTAGTTACTGATATATAGGAGATGGCAATAGTCTCCCTGGGAGATTAGAAGGGGGAAGTAAATTGTTACAACCTAAAGGAGAGTTCTGGTTTATTAAAGAATTTCAAGCTATTTGATCTTGGGTGACTTTAGCATAACTTACTAGCTCTTTGGGGGGTACAATAGTCGTATTTGTTAAACTTGTAAATTTATGAGCATTGGAATGATATCTCTTAAGCTAGACTTGTTGAACTAAGACTTTTTTAACCTTCATCTTCTAGCCAACCATACCTCATTCACAGGTAAAAGGCAGTCTTTGACCAAGTTTTACTCTTACTAGAATGGGGAGAAATTATAAGTTGGTTGTGATATACTCTTTTGGAACAGTCTCCCACATTTAACTACAACTAACCAATTTAAGATTCTTCCACTGATGGACTTGTATTCAAGACAGCTTTTCAACTTACTATATACCTTTGGACATTCTTTTAATATATTGTCAGCTTTGCTTGATTCAAAGAAGAGAAATTTAGAGAGAGAGAGAGAGAGAGAGAGAGTGTGTGTGTGTGTGTGTGTGTGTGTGTGTGTGTATGTACACAAGCTGTATTGACAGTTACTTTTTTTACTCTTTCAAAGACTCGTTTTTCAGGAAAGAAAAATGCAACAGTGAGTACTTCTTATCCAGGACCTTTTCCAGTTTTTCAGTGTATTTATAATTTGAAAATTTCAGGCCGGGCACAGTGACTCACACCTGTAATCGCACCACTTCGCAAGCCCAGGAGTTTAAGACCACCCTGAGCAATGTAGCAAGGCCCACCCCCTCCCTCAGTCTCTACATAAAATGTAATTAGCTGGGTGTGGTGGCACCTGACTGTGACCCCAGCTACTCCAGAGGGTGAGGTGGGAGAATCACTTGAGCCCAGGAGTTTGAGGTTGCAGTGAGCCATGATCATGCCGCTGCACTTCACGCCAGGCAACAGAGCAAGACCTTGTCTCAAAAAAACAAAACAAAACAAAAAGCTCTCTCAAGTTACTTATTTTTATTTAATTAACAACAGACATTTAGTATGTAAGTATATACCCAAGTTTTCGGGCTCTTGAGAATGTTTTCAATTAAGAAATATCTGCGATATAATAACAGAAGATACCTTAGGCAGAAAAAGGATATTTAGAAAGGTTAGCCAGGCACGGTGGCTCATGCCTATAATCCCAGCACTTAGGGAGGTCAAGGCATACAGAATCACTGTTTTGCCTTGATATAATTTTTTTATCAGTTATCTCGAACTAAGGTCAGTTCGAGACCATCTTGGCCAACATGATGAAACCTTGTCTCTACTAAAACTACAAAAATTAGCCAGGCATGATGGCACATGCCTGTAATCCCAGCTACTTGGGGGGTTGAGGCATGAGAATCGCTTGAACCTGGGAGGTGGAGGTTGCAGTGAGGCAAGATCATGCCATGGCATTCCAGCCTAGGCGACAGAGCAAGACCCAGCCTGGAAAAAAAAAAAAAAAAAAAAAAAAGGAAAGATTACACACTAGTTGATAGATGACTTCTGTGTCAAGTTTTAACTAGGAAAAAGACTGGGCGTGGTGGCTTATGCCTGTAATCCCAGCACTTTGGAAGGCCAAGGCGGGCAGATCACTTGAGGTCAGGAGTTCAAGACCAGCCTGTCCAACATAGTGAAACCCATCTCTACTAAAAATAAGAAAAAAATTAGCCAAGCGTGGTGGCGTGTTTCTGTAATCCCAGCTACTATAGGCAGGAGAATTGTTTCAGCTCAGGAGGTGGAGGTTGCAGTGAGCCAAGATGGCACCACTGCACTCCAGCCTGAGTGACAGAACAAGACTCCATCTCAAAAAAAAAAAGAAAACATAAACCAGGAAAAAGTATAATTCAAACTTGAATAATGTATAGACTTGCCTTTTAAGGGGAAAAATTATATCAAAGCAAAACAGATTTACAATTTAATAAAATTGACATTGACAACATTAATGTGATCTATGATAATGTTTTAGTGACAATGTCTTCAACCTGAATGTAGTAGAAATTGTTACATCTTTGGTTCATTTGAATTTGACATATTTATTCTCCTCACACTATGTGTTACCTCAGTTCTTCCCACTTTTCTATATTGTAGTCATTCTCAATCTAGGGAGATTTTGTCACCCAGGAGGCACTTGGCAATGTCTCTGGACATTTTTGGTTGTCCCAACTAAGGGTGTGATACTACTGACATCTAGTAGTTAGAGGCCAAAGATGCTGGTAACATCTTGCAGTGCACAGGAAAGCCCCTTGAAACAAAGAGGCAAAATGGCAGTTAATATTGCTGAGGCTGAAAACCCTGTTCTATCAGAATTAACAAAATATTGACATATATATATATATATATATATATATATATATGATATTGTGTCATTTGGCCTTTCTTAGTACAAACAAATTATTATCATGTTACGTCATCTGTTATGTTGTAAACATGTATAAAGTGCTCATCTAGATGATCCAGAATATTCACTTATTCTTTTTTAGAGTATCATTAAAATAAAAATACAAAATTAAGATTGCCCATGGAGAACTCATGGACTGCCTATTCACTAATAAAGAGTATATATCTGTGATCCCTGGTCTGAGAAAAATCTTTAGCTGGTGTAATTAATGAATGCATGTGAGTTTATTCCTTCATCTTAACCAAAGCTCATCTTATGTATTTAAAAAAAAAAGCAAAACATGTATTACAAGCTTGTTTTTTGGTGAAATGTTCTTCATTTGCTTGAAAGGTAGGCTTTTTCACCTTTCTTCATACTGCTGTTTTAATACGAACAGTAAAATCTCAAAACAGAATGTTATAAATATATAAACAAAAGAAGCACAGCACTAAATTTTCATAGTTCATCTCTTCCCTGAACTTGGAATTTCTGAGGAACCTGCTGGGTTCAGTGGCTCATGCCTGTAATCCCAGCTACTTAGGAGGCTGAGGCAGGAAGATCTCTTGAGGCCAGGAGTTCAAGGCTGCAGTGAGCTATAATTGTGTCACTGCCCCCGAGCCTGGGTGACAGAGCAAGACTCTGTCTCTCTAAAAAAAAAAAAAAAATTAAATACTCTGGTGTGGTGACATGCACAGTATAAGTCTCAGCTACTTGTGAGGCTGAGGCAGGAGGAATGCTTGAGCCCAGGAGTTTGAGGCTGCAGTGAGTTGTGATCATACCACTGTACCCTTGTCTGGGTGACAGAGCAAGACCCTGTCTCGGAAAAGAAAAAAAATAATTTCTAAGGAATCTTTAATTGACCTTGGTACAACACAGCTAAATGGCCGCTAGCAGGAAGAAGGATATATTTTTCATTCCTCTTTGATGAACATGAACTTACCTTACAAACGGACCTACCATTTTTCCAAATTCATGCTCTAAAATCATAAAGACACCCTGTCTTGTCTTCCAGGAAGGCACACAGGATTATTATGAATCTGAGATAATAGGTAAGTACTTTCAACCCTGTATTAGCAGTTCCTAGTTTCCATCTTCTATCAGATTTTCACCATTAAGATTTTTCAGGGAAATAATGTATTATGTTAGTGGTAAACTATAGTAGAGGCAGGATCCTAAACATACCCTTACCTTTAATAAGCACAAATAATCTCTCAAAAAGAGCTATATGGTCACTTTCATTCAAGGTTTAGGTTGTTTTTTTCCTGACAGGAGGCAGGGGTGTTATATGCCTCTCCCTATTCACTCATTTTTCTCATATTTTCCAATATTTTATGAAGAGTCATTAACACAAAATATTAAGACCCAGCTTAATCTTCAGAGATACAGAAGCTGATTAGATATTTTGGCTCTTTTCAGTAGTTTAACCCTAGTTTTCAAGTGATCAATGTTAATACATTTTGAAATCTCCAGGAGTAGGTCTTTCTATTTCTGAAGAAACCCAAAGATGATTCCTTTTTAAATGAGTTAATTTTGATACACCTGACTGCTCAGTAGACATTGGCACTGATCATCTCCTACCTTTGTTGGCTTAGTATAAGTTACAGACAAATTTGAAACTAAAGATTTTTCTATTCCTACCTCCTTGCCTCCTTAATTATTTTATATATCTTTTTTAAAAATTTGTCTGCTAATGGATATGACAGTGGAAATCATTTTCTTTAGTATTTCACGGGGCCTAAAATTCAGACTCCAAAGAACATTATCTTCCCCAAAAGTAAATTAATAGCAGCACCTTAGTAATCTTCCTTCCCTTTCTCCCTTCCTTCTTTCCTTCCTTCCCCTTTTTCTTTCTTCCTTTTCTTTTCCCCTCCTTTCCTCCCTCCCTCCCTCCCCTCTCTCCTGTCTCTCTCTTGCTCTCTCTCTCTCTCTCTTTCTCTCTCTCTCACACACACTTTCTCCCTCTCTCTCTCACTCTCTGGCTGCTTCCTTTGTACTTTGTTACCTACTCGGGATTTTTTTTCTAATCTTACCCTCTTGTTTGTGCCACGAAAGGTCTTTCTAGTACATAAGCTAGAGGTCACCAATTATCTCACAGATATATTTTATCTAGCCTCCATGTTATTAGTTTTTCCTTTTTTAATTTCAGTTGATTCCCAAATTTTGAAAATTGGATTTTACAAAATTTAGACTTTGGTTTATCTTGAAAAATTAAAATTATCTGACAACTTTGGGCCTACATTTCAACATAACCGTGGACTAAAGCTGAACAGTTGCTATCTATTTGCTCACTCTCCAACTAAGCTGTGATCTCCACTTCATCTTTTCTTTTACACCAATCTGTGGACTCATTATGTTATCTGGTGAACTCCTCTAAACATTTGAATTTGTGAGTCAGGCCTATGTTTTTCCCTTCTTCCCACACAAGTTCCCATGGGTTCTGACTGATGATGGGAAACTGGCACATTGAAAAGCTGCCTCCTTGCTAATAGTGTTGGGACCAACTTCCTTGCAATTTCAATCTCTAGTAGTCTGATCCAGATTATCAAAATCTGGTACTGTAAAGCATCTTCAGAAATCCTTTAGGCCAATGCAGTGGCTTATACCTGTAATCCCAGCACTTTAGGATACTGAGGCAGGCAGACCGCTTGAGCCCAGGAGTTCGAGACCAGCCTGGGCAACATGGCAAAACTCGGTTTCTACAGAAAATCCCCCCCAAAATTAGCTGGATGTGGTGGCAGTTGCTGTGGTCCCAGGTACTGGAGGGGCTGAGGTAGGAGGATCACTTGAGCCCAGGAGGTGGACATTGCAGTGAGCCAAGATCGTGCCACTGCACTCAAGCCTGGGCAATATATTGAGCAAGGCCCTGTCTCAAAAAAAAGAAAAAAAAACTTTAACTGTAGAAAGAATCAGTATCTCAGTCAGAGGAAGATACTTTGAGCCTTCCTCTTTTTTCTGCTAAAATACCCTTTATATGAAAACTTCTATACTTTTTACATTTTCTAAAAGAACTGAACTTTTTTTTTTTTTTTTTTTTTTGAGACGGAGTTTCGCTCGTTACCCAGGCTGGAGTGCAATGGCGCGATCTCGGCTCACCGCAACCTCCGCCTCCTGTGTTCAGGCAATTCTCCTGCCTCAGCCTCCTGAGTAGCTGGGATTACAGGCACGCACCACCATGCCCAGCTAATTTTTTTTTGTATTTTTAGTAGAGACGGGGTTTCATCATGTTGACCAGGATGGTCTCGATCTCTTGACCTCGTGATCCACCCGCCTCGGCCTCCCAAAGTGCTGGGATTACAGGCTTGAGCCACCGCGCCCGGCAGGACTGAACTTTTATTTAATTCCAAGGTGTGTTTCAGTTGTGAACAAAAGCAGGAGTTCCCTGGAGCTTTAAGTAGCTAAACTAAAACAGTGAAGCCTCTAGCAGCCACCAGTGACTATTTTGATTTGTACAGAATAGACTGTTAATACATGATTTAGTTAACGTTACCTAAATTGTTTGCAACTCCTTTTTGACAGGATTACTTACTCTTAGTTGACTGTTTCATTACCCGATAACATATATTACCAAGGAACAGAAATTTTAGATTATTTCTTATTATTCAAAAATGAAACAGATTCTAAATTGAAGTAGTCCCTGAGAATTTCCTTGGTGATGAAAGGAATGATCATTTTTAGACTTCACAGGGACTTAATTGAAGTTTGGTGTGGCCACTTTCCACTTGAATTTTTCACTGTTATACTGATAAAATTTTTTTGCCTGTCAAGATATTTTACAGCATGTGATCCTCCCTCTGTAAACTTCATATATACGGCATCAGGACAGTAAGAACATCAAATCAGTTAGACCTCTCCCAAGCCAATACATATTTGAAGAAATACATACTGGGTTCCTTTTTCAGTGCAGTGTTGTTAGTGGGAAAAAAACATAGAAGTATATAAAAAAGGAAAGTGCCTAGGACTAACATAAAAAGAATGACACTTCTAAGAAGTGAAATCATCCAGATCAGATACTCATGAGGATACTCCCTAGGTACTCAATATTTTGGGTGTTTACAGAATGTTTTATCCTTAGAAAATCAAAAAGTAGGCTGGGTGCAGTGACTCACACCTGTAATCCCAGCACTTCAGGAGGCCAAGGCAGGTGAATCACGAGGTCAGGAGTTCAAGACCTGCCTGACCAACATGGAGAAAGCCCATCTCTACTAAAAATACAAAATTAGCCGTGTGTGGTGGCACATGCCTGTAATCCCAGCTACTCAGGAGGCTGAGGCAAGAGAATAGCTTGAACCTGGGAGGCAGAGGTTGCAGTGAGCCAAGATTACGCCACTGCACTGCATCCTGAGCAGCAAGAGTGAAACTTCTTCTCAAAAAAAAAAAAAAAAAAAAAAGAGAGAGAAAAAAAATTAAAAAGTGATTATTGGCAAAGATGTGAAATCCATTTGGGAAATTAGAAAGTATCATGAATGTCAAGGCTTTATAAATGTCGATTTAGCACAGCTCTCTTAAGAGATTATGCTTAGCCGGGTGCGGTGGCTCAAGCCTGTAATCCCAGCACTTTGGGAGGCCGAGGTGGGTGGATCACGAGGTCAAGAGATCGAGACCATCCTGGTCAATACAGTGAAACCCCATCTCTACTAAAAATACAAAAAAATTAGCTGGGCATGGTGGCACGTGCCTGTAATCCCAGCTACTCAGGAGGCTGAGGCAGGAGAATTGCCTGAACCCAGGAGGCAGAGGTTGCAGTGAGCCAAGATTACGCCACTGCACTGCATCCTGAGCAGCAAGAGTGAAACTTCTTCTCAAAAAAAAAAAAAAAAAAAAAAAAAAGAGATTATGCTTTAAGAAACAACACAGGTTTGAAGAAAGCAATGCTTCTCAGCACTTGAACATGTAGTTTTATTTTATTTTAATAACTTATAGCAGCAGGGTGAAAATGTTGGGTTCAGCGGTTCTTTATTCCATTTTCTTGGGGTCTGTTTTGCTTAATAAGAAAATTGACATCATTTGGCTAATCTTCCAAAAATTTAGCATGTTTCTTAAGTCTTATGTACTCACCCCCTCTGTTTATGTTGGGAGTAAACGTTTTAGACCTAGCAATCATAACATAGGTAACCTTGAAATAAATCTGTTGAAGGCCAGGCATTGTGGCTCATGCCTGTAATCCCAGCACTTCAGGATGCCGAGGCCGGTGGATCACCTGAGGTCAGGAGTTCAAGACCAGCCTGGCCAACATAGTGAAACCTCTTCTCTACTAAAAATACAAAAAAATTAGCCGGGTGTAGTGGCACACACCTGTAATCCCAGCCACTCAGGAGGCTGGGGCAGGAGAATTGCTTGAACCTGGGAGGCGGAGGTTGCAACCAGCAGAGATCATGCCACTGCTCCAGCCTGGGTGACAAAGTGAGACTCCATCTTAAAAAAAAAAAAAAAAAAATCTTGAAAAAAAATCCCCTCTGCTTAGGGGAGCTGTCTGCTTTTGTGAGGAGGGGTGACTTCAAACAGACCCTTCAGGACCTAATGTTGCCAGGTAAACCAGGCATTCTCTTGTTATGTATTTCCAACTGTTCTTCATCTTGGTATACAATCCCAGTTGACTAAAAATGATTCTGCCTTACTTTTGTTCTTCAGTTTCAACCTTTCTGCCTCTTACACTTAATTCATCACAGTGATACACTATGGTAGAGATTCTGGGATTAGACTCTTTGTTCTATTGTAGTCTGAAAGATTAAAACGGCCTAAGTAATAATAAGTTATTTAGTGACAGCACTGTTAAAGAGAGCTCTGAACTGGGTTGTTGCTGTTCCATTTTCTTTTGAACAAACAGCTCTAATGACTTATGCACCTTCAAATTTTACTTATGGGGCAAATCTTTGTCCCCAGATATGTTCTGGGGTGCTATGTAAATGCAGATTGAGCATCCTAAATTCAAAAAATTAAGATCCAAAATGCTCCAAAATTCAAAAGTTTGTGAGTGCCAACATGACACTCAAAGGAAATGCTTATTGGAGCATTTTGGGTTTTCAGATGTGGGATTCTCAAGCAGTAAATATACAATGCAAATATTTTAAAATCTAAAAAAGCCCAAGATCTAAAATACTTCTGGTTCTAAGTATTTAATATAAGGGATACTTAACCTGTATACATAAAACTCATTATCTACAAAACCACAATATTATATATACCATTTCATACCCACTAGGATGGCTAAAACAAAAATGATACACTAGCAAAGTATTGGAGAAGATATCAAGAAATTGGAGCCCTTCTACATTACTAATGAGGTAGTGAAATGATACAGCACTTCTGGAAAAGTTTTTGACACTTCCTCAAAACATTAAATACAAAGCTACCATATTACTAATATATACCCAAGGGAAATATATGTCCACACAAAAACTTGCATTAAAATGTTTATAATAGCCAAAAAGGGAAATAACCCCAATGTCCATCAACTGGTAAATGGATAAAATGTGATACATCTGTACAATGGAATATTATTAAGCAATAAAAAGGAAAGACTTAATATATACAACATGCATGAATCTTGAAATTTGTATGCTAAGTTAAAGAAGCTGATTATGAAAGACCCCATATTATACAATTTCATTTATATAAAAAGTCTAGAATAAACAAATACATAGAAACAAAAAGCAGATTTGTAGTTTCCTGGGGCTTGGCAGAGGGGAAATGGGGAGTAACTGCTTATGAATATGAAGTTTCTTTTGGGAGAAATGAAAATGTTCTAAAATTAGATAGTGGTGTTACTTGCACAATTCTAAGAATATACTAAAACCCACTAAATTTGACACTTCAGATGTGTGAATTTGGGCCAGAAGCAGTGGCTGATACTGGTAATCTCAACACTTTGGGAGGCCAAGGCAGGAGGATCCCTTGATCCAAGGAGTTTGAGACTATCTTGGGCAACATACGGAGATCCTGTCTCTATAAAAAATAAAAATAAATTAGCCGAGCATGATGGAGTGCATCTGTGGTCCCAACAACTTGAGAAGCTGAGATGGTGTGGCTCAAGCCTGTAATCCTAGCACTTTGGGAGGCCAAGGTGGATGGATCACCTGAGGTCAGGAGTTTGAGACCAGCCTGGCCAACATGGTGAAACCCCATCTAAAAAAAATTTAATTTAATTTAAAAAAAATAAAATTAAAAAAAAAAAAAAGAGAGAGAGAGAGAGAAACTGAGATGGGAAGGATCACTTGAGCCTGGGAGGTTGAGGCTGCAAGTAAGCTATGATTGTGCCACTGCTCTCCAGTGCAGTGACAAAGCAAAACCCTGTCTCCAAAAAAGGTGGGGGGTAAATTTTAGAGTATATGAATTCTATCTCAAAAGTTGTTTTTAAAACCTCATTAACCAGTTTAAATTTTCATGGTGGTGGTGGTGGTGAAAATATATACTCCATATACATATGTACATGTGTGTATGTATATGTTGATTATATGTAAATGCCTTAAAGCAGGCACATTTGGTGCTGTTAAAGAATATACCATAGGATTTCAACATGAATTTGGAAGAACAAAAAGTAATTTAAACAAAAAAAAAGAATATACCATACATCAGGCGCAGTGGCTCACACCTCTAATCCCAGCACTTTGGGAGGCCAAGGCAGGCAGATCACAAGGTCAAGAGATCGAGACCATTCTGGCCAACATGTGAAACCCCATATCTACTAAAAATACAAAAATTAGCCTAGCCAGGCATGGTGGCACATGCCTGTAATCCCAGCTACCTGGGAGGCTGAGGCAGGAGAACTACTGGAACCTAGGAGGCAGAGACTGCAGTGAGCTGAGATCACCACTGCACTCCAGCCTGGGTGGACAGAGCAAGATTTCATCTCAAAAAAAATTAGCCCGATGTGGTGGCACAGGCCTGTGGTCCCAGTTACTCGAGAGGCTGAGGCAGTAGAATCGCTTCAGCCTGGGAGGCAGAGGTTACAGTAAGCCAATATCACACCACTGCACGCCAGCCTGGGCAACAGAGTGAGACTCTGTCTCAAGAAAAGAAAAAATTGGGGCCAGCTACAGTGGCTCATGCCTGTAATCCCAACACAAAAAATTAGTGGGCGAGGTGGTGGGCACCTATAATCCCAGCTGTTTGGGAGGCGAGGCAGGAGAATCGCTTTAAAGTGGGAGGTGGTGGTTGCAGGGAGCCGAAATCACTGCACTCCAGCCTAGGTGACAGAGGGATACTGTATCTCAGTAAAAATAAAAATATTTTTTTCTCTCTTTTTTTACTGTCTGTAATTGGCATTAGTATCTAGTTTTCTCTGTTACTGAATAAAATTAATTTTCATCACTCATAGGCATATGCTAAAAGAAATAATTTGCATCTAATGTTCAGTAACTTGGCTTTTCCTAACCATTCATATATAATCTTCCTTTCCTGGGTAGTTTATTACTGAGACATTCTATAGTCCCTCCTGTTCTTTTCTCTCACCCACCACCTGGTGATATCTTGGGTGATCTTATCCATAAACATCAAACTCTGAGACATGAATTAGGCTTACCTAGGCAAACAAAAACTACAGCATTATTGCTTCAGTTAGGAAGGGGAGAGGAGACCCACATTAAGGTTTTGTTAATGTTTTGTTTGTATTTTTTTTTATTAAAAAAAAAAAAAAACAGTGGAGATTTCCACAGAGGCTGTGGTTTTGGTATACCGGATCGTTGACATAAGAGGAAAAGAAGTGGTTGAGATTTGAAGAAGGCCAGATTATCCTTAGCCAGAAATAGTGGTCAAGATACAACACATTCTTGTGGGTTTGTTTTTTTGTTGTTGTTGTTGTTTTTTGACAGGTTCAGCCCGGCTCAGTGGCTGATACCTGTAATCCCAGCCCTTTGGGAGGCCTAGGCAGGCAGATCACCTGGGGTCAGGAGTTCAAGACCGTCCTGGCCAACATAGTGAAACCCTGTCTCTACTAAAAATATAAATAATTAGCCAGGCATGGTGGCACGCACCTGTAGTCCCAGCTACTTGGGAGGCTGAGGCATGAGAATCGCTTGAACTCAGGAGACAGAGGTTGTAGTGAGCCAAAATTGCGCCATTGTACTTCAGCCTGGGTGACGGGGCGACTGTCTCAAAAAAAAAAAGGACAGGTTCTTGCTCTGTCACCCAGGCTGGAGTTTAGTGGCATAATCATAGCTCACTGTGCCCTTTTACTCCTGGACTTAAGCAGTCCTCCTACCTCAGCCTCCCATATAGCTGGAACTACAAAGCACACACCACTGCGCCCAGATAATTAAAAAAAAATTTTTTTGAGAGACAGTCTTACTATGTTGCCCAGACTGGTCTTGAACTCCTGTCCTCAAGCAGTCCTTCTACCTCAACCTCCCAAAATGTTGGGAGTACAGGTGTGAGCCACAACCCAGTTTGATAAATACTGAGTGAGCATCTTTTGTGCCATAGACAACTATGTTTGCATTGCATAGTTACAAAGGAAGACTAAGCTTCAGTCCCTGTTAGGAGAGCAGAGTTGCTATCCGGTGAGAGAAAGAAACCATGGATAATTTTTTGATCCTAAAGAGACAAAATCAAGTTTCTTCAGAGCTGAGTAAATGTAGAACCGTGGGTCTTTAGTGGCAATAGGAAATACTCTGCCTTAAATTCTGCCTGTTTTCTGATGCCTGAAATTCCTTTCACATGATAAAAACAGGTTTTATTCTTTAAATTTAGATAATCAATTTGAAATACTTGAGAAAGATAGTAGTCAGAATTATTCTTAGTATACTCCATCAAATATAAACTCCTAGTGTCAAATTTTATTTTGATAGAAGAAAGAAGCATAGCACTAAAAGATACAGAAAATATTTTATTAAACCTTTGTATTTTGTGGTTGGGGAACACTTTACAGAAATATGTGTCTTATTAAACTCAGTCAGTGTTGAGCAGGAACACTATTGCTCTTCACTATGTAAAGAAGCCATATTTCTTGACAGCCACTTTACGGATGTTCTACAAAGCCTGATTGCCATAGTTGGCTTGTTTTAATAGACACTGTGAGGCAGAACGTTTCTGCTCTTGAAGTCTACATTTAAAGATAAGTGGGTGGCTGCTGGGGTGAACCTTTTCTGCACATTTATAATCTACATTCAGATTTACCTGATTCTCATTTCTTTGGCTTAATCTTTCAGCGTTTAATGTGGATGGGTACTTCAAGTACTGGATCATTTGTTAAGGTATTGCCTTTCTTCTGGTCTTCTGGAAAGTTTAATGGAAATCCCAGCCACCATGTGATTAAGGATCTGTGGGAAACGTTTCTTCCATTCTGTACTGTGCTACAAATGTATGTGGTTTTGGGAAAATGCTATTGATTTTTCAGAAAAACAGGATCTTCATATCTTTTTATTTTCAGTGGGGTTCAGTCTCCTTTTCTTGAATCAAGATATTTCCCAACTAAAAATATGTTCTGTGGCTTAAGTTTTTGTTACTAGGCATTAGTAGTTCAATAAAATAAGCTAATTTATTAGCAGCTCTTCAGAAAGCATATTGTATAATTTTCAGATATAAGGATATAGTCTCATAGCTTTTGAGTCAGCTTAAATGGATAATTAAATCCATTCACATGAGAATGTCCCAATTTGGAATCTAACTTGAATTTTTGTGTATGATAGAAAATTTGCTCAGACTTTGACAAGATTGATGACGTATCTGCAATTTTTGATCTTTTTCTGAACTGTCTTTACTCTGATAGGCAGGCATGTTGCTGTAGTCTCACCTGAAGAAATTATCTAAAGTTGTGTTCCTCTTTAGAATTTAAGAGAAAAGTACAGATACAATTCACAGAATTTCACATGGGCATTCCGTGGCAAATGAGCCAGACCTTGGTAGCCTTTTGGAATAAAATAGGCAATTTTGGAAAACTTTACTCTGATTAGGGCCTTTTGCCTTTATAAAAATTAACTTTTTAGGTAAGAAGCTGAGAAGTTTCTGGCCAGTATCTTTTGTCATTTAGCCTAATTCTGTTTAAAAATAAGGGATACCCGCAGCGGTAGCTAGGTGGACCGTACTATATAACCTTAATATGTCCCTAATAAAAATATAAGAATACTTTATATCAACCCTTCCTACAAATAAATGGTAGAAAAATTTATTTGGGGGAAAATGAAGGATCTAATGTTTGAACTGAATTATTCACTGGACATTTATCATATGCCCTCTCTAGACTTAGTACTGTTTCATGCACTGCAGGGTTGATTATAAAGATAAGCTGTAGTCCCTGCCCCACACAGAGGAAAGGCAGTATTGAACAGTTGTGACTTATTTAATGCTTTACATTTATTCTGACATTTAATCTTGTAAATCTGTAGGTGGATAGCTCTATTTTTTAATGAGGGAACTGGAACTCAGGTGAAATCACCTAGTAGTAAGTGGATTGGCTAGTAATTAATGGATTTGAACCCAGGCTTCCTGACTCTGAAGCTGTCACATACTGCCTTTTTAAAAGACAAGAGTAACTGATCAGAGAACAAAATACGATAGCTGCTAGGTGAGTGATATGACAAAGCACCACTAAGGACAGTTCAGAAAGAACAGTTCCCTCTTTTGAAGGATCAGTAGAGACTGTGTGAGAATTTAGTTTGACCTTGAGTAGGCAGGAGACACTTGGAGTTAGGCATTCATTCTAGGTAAACGAAAATGTGAACCTTATAACCCACGTCTTGGCTAGGTCTGGTGGCGCATTCCTGTAGTCCTGACTTATAGGGAGGCTGAGACTAGGGGATCACTTGAGCCCAGGAGTTCTGGGCTACAGTGCGCTATGCTGACTGGGTGTCTGCACTAAGTGGACATCAAACTCCCAGGAGCAGGGGACCAACCCAAGATTCCTAAGGAGAGATGAACTGGTGCAGGTCAGAAACAGAGCAGGTCAAAACTCCCATGCCAATCAGTAGTGGAATCACACATGTGAATAGCCCCAGCACTTCAGCCTGGGCAACAAAGTGAGACTTTTTCTCTTAAAAGTCACCAGAATGGGCTGGGCGCGGTGGCTCAAGCCTATAATCCCAGCACTTTGGGAGGCCGAGGCGGGTGGATCACGAGGTCAAGAGATCGAGACTATCCTGGTCAACATGGTGAAACCCCGTCTCTACTGAAAATACAAAACATTAGCTGGGCATGGTGGTGCGTGCCTGTAATCCCAGCTACTCAGGAGGCTGAGGCAGGAGAATTGCCTGAACCCAGGAGGCGGAGGTTGCGGTGAGCCGAGATCGCGCCATTGCACTCCAGCCTGGGTAACATGAGTGAAACTCCGTCTCAAAAAAAAAAAAAAAAAAGTCACCAGAATGTCCTCATCTGAGAGAAACCTCAAGTATACATATTGAGTTTGAGAGGGTTTGCTGAGTCCTGCCTCTTAAGGTTGGGGTTAGAATTCTGGGGTTCTCAATTCTGCTTTTGGGACTGCAGACTTAACTGTAAAGTTTGTAGTGTGAAAATGTGATGTTGGGAGCCTTTCTAAGCCATATGGGGGTATTAATTAGGATAGATATGCCCAGAGGGAGCCTGCAATTTAGATTCTTTTATTACATCATCCCATTTTCTTCCCTCTCTACCTCCAACCATATTCTTGTGGTGGGAATTTGAGATAGGATGTCTTCAGCATGATGTGGACATGGTTCTATTCCTTCAACTTGAAGGCTGTACAGAGTGGCTGCTGAATGGAAAGCTTAGTCTCAGCTCAGCCTGGAGACTCCATACTTTGACAAAATGATTGTTCTTTTGGACAATGTCATGTAGTTTGAAAAATGCTTCCTAAAAGTAATGAAATATTTGTAAGAAGGGGAGAAATGGCATAGGGAGATTTTCCAGTCTTAGCAGGTAGCTAGAGAGAGATGGCAGGCCGGGCACAGTGGCTCATGCCTGTAATCCCAGCACTTTGGGAAGCCACGGTGGGTGGATCACTTGAGGTCAGGAATTCAAGACTACCCTGGCCAACAAGATGAAACCCTATCTCTACTAAAAATACAGAAAATCAGCCAGACATGGTGACGGGGACCTGTAGTCTCAGCTACTCAGGAGGCTGAGACAGAAGAATCGCTTGGACCCAGGAGGCGGAGGTTGCATTGAGCTGAGAGGAGAGAGGGAGAAATGGCAAATATGAGAAGAAGATACATTCTATCTAAATCTTGGCTAGAGAGCCTGTTACATGTTTGGGGAAGAAAAAACTAGGTTTGTGGCCAAAGGTAATCATATAATAGGCCTGATAAGCCTTCTATTTCTGCCCCATTCACCTCAGGAAGAGGAAATTGGAATTCATATTTATTTAAAATAGTTGATCCTTTATCTTGAAGTGGTATTATAAAAATCTTAATTGTGGGCTAGGCATGGTGGCTCATGCCTTTAATCCCAGCACCTTGGGAGGCCAAGGCGGGTAGAGCACTTGAGGCCAGGAGTTTGAGACCACCCTGGCCACCATAATGAAACTCCATCTCTACTAAAAATATAAAAAATGAGCCAGGCATGGGGGTGCACGCCCGTAATCCCAGCTACTTGGGAGGCTGAGGCATGAGAATTGCTTGAAGCTGGAAGGTGGAGGCTGCAGTGAGCCAGGATCATGCCACTGCACTCCGGCCTGGGCGACAGAGAGAGACTGTGTCTCAAAAAAAAAAAAAAAATCTTAATGATGGGCACTAATAGTTTTGTCAGCTGTTCATTGCTTCAACTTCCCCAAAATAAGGGCTAATAGAAACAAGACTGCTTTTTATGCCACAATGGTCTTTTCCAAAGTTCTGGAACCATTTTTCTGGAAGAAGTACAGGTAGTTTCATTTTTCTAGGTGGGCTTACTATGTCAGTCTGTGTGTATGTACACATATATATGTTGTACAGGTGCTTCCCTTCTCCCCAGCCCTTTTAGAGTTGATGGCTTTGTCCCTGATTGTTCAGTATAATAGTTTACAGATTCACTAAGAGAGCTTTTGTAGTAATGCTTGCTTTATTTTTTTTTTTCTCTTCCACTCTTGTTTTATTTTTTACTTTTTTTTCTTTGTGATGTGACATTTTCAGCTGATGTATTGAAAGCAAATCCTTCTAATTTGGGAGCCCAGATCACAAGAGTGAGTTTTTCTACTAGTGTCTTTAGCTGTATATCTTTTATTGTGTGTGTCTTTCTACCCTTCCCCTCTTCCAATTTAAAAAGATTCAAAACACATTTCATAAATATTAGGTAAGAAAATTCCTCTGTCTGTTAAACATCATGCCTTTCCACAAAGCAATGTCCACTTTATACTGGGTCAAATTCCTTTTCCCAATGCTGTTGTAAAAGCATAGGCTAATGTATATGTTTTGTTTTGTTTGTTTCTTGTGTTATCTAATGTCTTGAAAATAATTTTAGTTGTGTCTTCATTGCAGATAGATATGTCTGGGTTCTGTCACCAGTGTGTCATAACACTGTTCTTTTTTGGTTGTAGTTTGTTTTGTTTTAAAGAAAATTATACAGTAGCTTCTGAAAATAAAAGACCCATTCTGTTATCTGGATTTTAAGTAATAAAATCTTTGACTTACCTCTGCTCTCCCTCCTCATCCCCTGGATATTCCTCTCAGGGCCATGAAGGATCACATACTACTTTCAGCAGGCTGACCAAATAAAGTGGTCAGACTGGTGAGCTCTAAACATGCTAGCACTGGAAGACCTCTCGGGTTTATTCAGTAGTTACAGGAAACCTCTATTCATGCTGAAAAAAAAATAACAACACCTTTTTATGGTGAAATAAAAGTATACTTTCTATTTGTTCTAATTTTAATAACCCCCCCATGTAAGCTGTACATTGCTTTTCAAGATCTTACACCTGGGTAATTTTCTGTACTAGCCTAACCCCTTTCTGTTCTCTTTGGCTTGTGGTATTGCAATTTATCTCATGTTCTGTTTGTCTAGTTTTGCATCCTGGAGGAGCAGGTGATTAAATAGTCCCTTTTCTTTCCTCCCAGTGTTCTAAAATTTGCTTGTTGCATTTGAGATCATTTTATTTTGCCTAATAAAGCAAATGCTACGTTGTCCTTATTAGAAATGCAGATACTGCAAGTGCTATACCCAAAGTAATCAGCCATTGTGTTTTCAATTGCCATAAGAGAATATGATAATGTATTCTACACTAATACTGTAACTATTGGTTGAGGGTCATGTCCTAAGGCTTTGCTTTCAGATTCCTAAGTTACTCTAAATCATCCACCCTCTGTATCTTTCTTTCTTTTAACCCAGAGATTAAAAGATCTCAAGCAGAGAGAGTTTGCTCGAAATGTCTCTTCAAGATCCCGCAAGGATGAGAAAAAACAGGAAAAAGCCCTTCGGCGGCTCCATGAGCTGGCAGAGCAAAGAAAACAAGCTGAATGGTGAGTATATTTTTTCTCAGAGGGTTGTACAGATAATTATAATCCTTAAAATTGTATAGATTTAAGCTTATAATTTAAGAATTAAATTAAGATTTAAGAACTGGCCGGGCGCGGTGGCTCAAGCCTGTAATCCCAGCACTGTGGGAGGCCGAGGCGGGTGGATCACGAGGTCAAGAGATCGAGACCATCCTGGTCAACATGGTGAAACCCCGTCTCTACTAAAAATACAAAAAATTAGCTGGGCATGGTGGCGCGTGCCTGTAATCCCAGCTACTCAGGGGGCTGGGGCAGGAGAATTGCCTGAACCCAGGAGGCGGAGGTTGCGGTGAGCCGAGATCGCGCCATTGCACTCCAGCCTGGGTAACAAGAGCGAAACTCCGTCTCAAAAAAAAAAAAAAAGATTTAAAAACTATAAATCTTAATTTTTTTTTTACAAATAATGATTGTACATATACACGGGTTACCTAGTAATGTTTCAGTACATATAATGCAAAGTGATCAGATCAGGGTAATTACCATATCCATCGCCTCAAACAGTTATCATTTCTTCGTGCATGAACATTTAGTATCCTCTTTCTAGCTACTTGAAACCAGATAGTATTGTTTGTTTGGGTTTGTTGTTGTTTTTGTTTTTTTGAGACAGTCTCACTGTGTCTCCCAGGCTGGAGTGAAATGGCACGATCTCAGCTCACTGCAACCTCTGCCTCCCGAGTTCAAGCAATTCTCCTTTCTCAACCTCCCAAGTAGCTGGGATTACAGGTGCACGCCACCACATCTGGCTAATTTTTGTATTTTTAGTAGAGACAGGGTTTCACCATGTTGGTCAGGCTGGTCTCGAATTCCTGACTTTTTGATCCACACTCCTCAGCCTCCCAAAGTACGGGGATTACAGGCGTGAGCCACCACCCCCCGGCCAAAACTACATAGTATTGTTAACTCTAGTCATCCTACAGTGGTATAGAACACTGGAACTTACTCTTCCTAGTTAGCTGTAATTTTGTAATAAATCTCTCCCTCTCCTACCCTTCCCAGCTTCTAGTATCCTTTGTTATACTTTTTACTTCTATGAGATCAACTTTTTTTTTAGTTTCCACATATGAGTGAGAACCTACAGTGTTTAATTTTCTGTTTCTGGGTTATTTTACTTAATGTTCTCCAGTTCCTTAAAATGTTTAATTGATCCTTCTTTCAAATAAAAAGCATATCTATAAACTTGCAGTATAATATACTGATTAAGTATGTATATTTTTGAGGCCATTTTCTTCTTACTGTTTGACTTAATAAAGTTATATCTAAACTCTCTATGCCTCAGTTTCCATGTCTGTAAGATAGAAATAAAAACAACTTACAGTTGTGAGGAGTGATTGAGTTATTAACTTGGAAATGCTTGAAGGAATGCCTAGCACATCAGAGATACTCAATAAATAAATGATGACACTGTTACAATTATTCCCATTTTTTAACATTTATATTAAAAAGCACATGCTCGGCGTAGTGACTCACACCTATAATCCCAGCACTTTGGGGGACCAAAGCAAGAGGATCACTTGAATCCAGGAGCTCAAGACCAGCCAGGCCAACATAGGAAAGACCCTGTTTCTAAAAACAAAATCTTAAAAATTAGTTGGGCATGGTGGCACATGCCTGTAGTCCCAGCTACTGGGGAGGCTAAGGTGGAAGAATCACTTGAGCCTGGGAAATCAAGCCTGCAGTGAGCTGTGATTGCACCATTGCAGTCCAGCCTGATAGAGCAAGACCCTGTCTCAAAAAACAGAATCCCCTTTTTATTCAGTTTAAGGGGAGGGTTGTTTTCTGTTTGTTTGCTATGGAGTAGGTTTCATAAGTGTAAGTATCTCTTGCTCTCCAAATCTGTTCAGTTCCCATTTTCTAGTAGTAACAGTTTAGATAGCAAGAGATTACACATTGTCTGAATATACTTAGCCCTGAGTTGAGGACAGCTAGTAGCTGGGGTTCAGATAACAAGGACATCATACAAATAGGTATCTAATGCTATTTAGTTCTTTATTTGGAATTTAAGGGTATAGTGTGCATTGTGTAGTGTACACACTATAAAAATTGCAATAAAGGCCGGGTGCAGTGTCTCACACCTGTAATCCCAGTACTTTGGGAAGCTGAGGCGGGCGGAACACGAGGTCAGGAGAGCGAGACCATCCTGGCCAACATGGTGAAACCCCTTAGACTAAAATATAAAAAATTAGCTGGGCATGGTGGTGCGTGCTTGTAGTCCCAGCTCTCAGGAGGCTGAGGCAGAGGAATTGCTTGAACCTGGGGGGCAGAGTTTGCAGTGAGCCAAGATCGTGCCACTGCACTTCAGCCTGGTGACAAAGCAAGACTGTTTAAAAAAAAAAAAATGTAGGCCAGATGGACGGTGGCTCACACCTCTAATCCCAGCACTCTGGGAGGCAGAGGCAGAGGCAGGAGGATCCCTTGAGGCCAGGTATTCAAGACCAATCTGGTCAACATAGCAAGACTCTGTCTCTACAAAAAATTTTTTTTAATTAGCCAGCATGGTCCAGCCATGATGGCTCACACCTGTAATCCCAGCACTTTGGAAGGGCAAGGTGGGCAGATCACTTGAAGCCAGGAGTTCGAGACCAGCCTGACCAATATGACGAAACCCTGTTTCTACTTAAAACACAAAAATTAGCCAGGCATGGTGGCACGGGCTCCTATAATCCCAGCTACTTGGGAGGCTGAGGCAGGATAATCGCTTGAACTCTGGAGGCAAAGGTAGGAGTGAGCTGAGATCTCGCCACTGCACTCCAGCCTGGACAACAGAGTGATACTATCTCTAAATAAATAAAATTAGCCAGTATGGTGATGTCCACTTGTAGTCCTAGCTTCTCAAGAGGCTGAGGTGGGATGATGGAGCCAAGAGTTTGAGATTACAGTGAGCTATGATCATGCCACTTCACTCCAGCCTGGGCAACACAGTTAAACTCTATCTCAAAAAAATAAAACTTTCAGGCAAGAGCAGCAGTTTAAAACTATCGAGGCTCCTTGATGTTCCTTTTTTCAAAGATGAAAGTGCTCAGTGACATTGTGACCACAGTACTGAATGCCCAGAAACTGCCACAAAACCAAAGCAAATGCTTGTTATGGTACCCAGGAGATAGGCATGGACTTTTTAGTTTCTATGACAGACATACCACAGACATGCCATAAGTAGCACAGTGGACATTTCTACGTTTAACTCAGAAATATGCATATTTTTAAAAACTGAAATTTGAAAGTATAGAGAAATTTTTATTGATTTTGTTATTTTTAGAGGTGGGGTCTCACTGTGTTGCCCAGACTGGTCTTGACCTCCTGGCCTCAGGCAATCCTCCCACCTCAGCCTCTTAAATCAGAGATTACAAATGTGAGCCACCCTTGCCCAGCAAGATTTTTTCCTTAATTGAATAAAATAAAACCTTTGTGAATACATGTACAGCCATACATTAGATAACATACTGATGGACAGGATGATAGAATAAGAAATGAGATCAGAAACATAGTAATGATGGGCTATTTGAGCCGTGATGTCTTTTTATACTTTTTTTTTTTTTTTTTTTTTTGAGACAGAGTCTTGTTTTGTCGCCCAGCCTGGAGTGCAGTGGCACGTTTTTGGCTCACTGCAACTTCCATCTCCTAGGTTCAAGCAATTCTCCTACCTCAGCCTCCCGAGTGGCTGGGATTACAGGTGTGTGCCACCACGCCCAGCCAATTCTGTATTTTTAGTAAAGACAGAGTTTCACCATTTTGACCAGACTGGTTACAAACTCCTGATCTCAAGTGATCTACCCACCTCAGCCTCCCAAAGTGCTGGGATTACAAATGTGAGCCAGTGCTCCTGGCCTAATTTTTGTATTTTTAGTAGAAATAGGATTTCACTATGTTGGCCACACTGGTCTCAAACTCCTGACCTCAAGCAATCTGCCCACCTTGGCCTCCCAAAGTGCTGGGATTACAGGCGTGAGCCACCAAACACAGCTTTTTGTACATTCGACAGCTTAAGATGAAACAGCAATAACTGGCTCACCCTCGGAATTTAGTTTGGTAGGTTAACAGAATGAGTCTTTGCCTAACCTTCTCTGAGAAAATCACATTTGTTAGTATAGGGCTCGGGAATATAACCACCACTCACTGTCTTTGAGATCTACCTATAATGAGTGATAGGATATAAGAGATGAGTATTTTATAAGGTTTATGAAATGTATTCCTAAACCTGTTTTTTGTTTGTTTGTTATTTTTATAAATCATCGTGTAGTGCACCTGGAAGTGGTCCCATGTTCAGACCAACCACAGTGGCTGTAGATGAAGAAGGTGGAGAAGATGATAAGGATGAATCAGCTACAAATAGTGGCACAGGTGCCACTGCCTCTTGTGGCCTGGGATCTGAATTTTCCACAGATAAAGGAGGCCCTTTCACTGCAGTACAAATCACTAGTACCACTGGACTGGCACAGCCTCCTGGGTCAGCCTCCCAAGGCATCAGCTTTGGCATTAAGAATAATCTGGGGACCCCATTGCAAAAATTGGGAGTGTCATTTTCTTTTGCCAAGAAGGCTCCTGTCAAACTTGAATCAATAGCATCAGTTTTCAAGGACCACGCGGAGGAAGGGACCCCTGAAGATGGAACAAAACCTGATGAGAAGGGTTCTGACCAAGGACTGCAGAAGGTAGGAGACTCTGATGGTAGCAGTAATCTTGATGGTAAAAAAGAGGATGAAGACCCTCAGGATGGAGGGTCTCTTGCCTCAACGTTATCCAAATTAAAAAGGATGAAGCGAGAAGAAGGAGCTGGGGCTACAGAGCCCGAGTATTACCACTACATCCCCCCAGCACACTGCAAAGTAAAACCTAATTTTCCCTTTCTACTTTTTATGAGAGCCAGTGAACAAATGGAAGGTGATAATAGTACACACCCAAAGAATGTCCCAGAGAGTAAAAAAGGCAGTTCTCCCAAGCCTAAAAGCTGCATCAAGGTGGCAGCAAGCCAAGGAGCAGAAAAGACTATTAGTGAAGTCTCTGAGCAGCCAAAGGAAACCACCATGACCGAGCCCTCAGAACCAGGAAGCAAAGCTGAGGCAAAGAAAGCCTTAGGAGGGGATGTAAGTGATCAGAGTTCAGAGAGTCATAGTCAGAAGGTTTCAGAGACCCAAATGTGTGAGTCCAACTCTTCCAAAGAAACCTCTCTGGCCACCCCAGCAGGGAAAGAAAGCCAAGAAGGACCCAAACATCCTACTGGTCCCTTTTTCCCAGTTTTGAGCAAAGATGAAAGCACTGCCCTCCAATGGCCGTCAGAACTATTAATTTTCACCAAGGCAGAACCATCCATTTCATACAGTTGTAACCCTTTATATTTTGACTTTAAACTTTCAAGGAACAAAGATGCCAGAACTAAAGGGACAGAAAAGCCAAAGGATATAGGAAGTTCCTCAAAGGATCATCTCCAAGGCCTAGATGCTGGTGAGCCAAATAAAAACAAGGAAGGGGGTGGAGAGAAAATAGTACGTTCCTCAGGAGGCAGAATGGATGCACCTGCTTCAGGGTCTGCCTGTAGCAGCCTGAACAAGCAGGAGCCTGTGGGTAGCCATGGGTCTGAGACAGAAGACACAGGGAGAAGCCTTCCCAGCAAGAAAGAACGATCCGGGAAGTCCCACCGGCACAAAAAGAAAAAGAAGCACAAAAAATCCAGCAAACACAAACGTAAACACAAGGCTGACACAGAAGAGAAAAGCTCTAAGGCAGAGTCAGGGGAGAAATCTAAGAAGCGCAAGAAACGAAAACGAAAGAAGAATAAGTCATCAGCCCCAGCTGATTCTGAACGAGGACCCAAACCAGAACCCCCTGGGAGTGGCAGTCCTGCACCACCAAGAAGACGGCGGCGAGCTCAAGATGACTCCCAGCGAAGATCCCTCCCAGCTGAAGAGGGGAGCAGTGGCAAAAAGGATGAAGGTGAGGGCGGTAGCAGCTCCCAAGACCATGGTGGGAGGAAACACAAAGGTGAACTTCCACCTTCATCCTGCCAGCGAAGAGCAGGCACCAAACGGAGCAGCCGGTCTAGCCATCGGAGCCAACCCAGTAGTGGAGATGAGGATAGCGATGATGCTTCATCACACCGGCTACACCAGAAGTCTCCATCCCAGTACAGTGAGGAAGAAGAGGAGGAAGATTCAGGCAGTGAGCATTCCCGCAGCCGCTCGAGGTCTGGCCGGCGCCATTCCTCACATCGTTCCTCCCGGCGTTCTTATTCAAGTAGCTCAGATGCCTCATCAGACCAGAGCTGCTATAGTAGACAGCGCAGTTACTCTGATGACAGCTACAGTGACTATAGTGACCGATCACGAAGGCACTCCAAACGTTCCCATGACTCAGATGACTCAGACTATGCCAGCTCCAAACACCGATCCAAACGGCACAAATATTCATCTTCTGATGATGACTATAGCCTCAGTTGCAGCCAGTCCCGAAGCCGGTCTCGGAGTCATACCAGAGAGCGCTCAAGATCCCGGGGCCGCAGCCGCAGCAGCAGTTGTAGTCGTAGTCGGAGCAAGCGGAGAAGCCGTAGCACTACAGCCCACAGCTGGCAACGGAGCCGGAGCTATAGCCGGGACCGCAGCCGCAGCACCAGGAGCCCTTCCCAGAGATCAGGCTCCAGGAAGGGATCGTGGGGTCATGAGAGCCCTGAGGAAAGGCATTCTGGGCGTCGGGACTTCATTCGTTCTAAGATCTACCGCTCCCAGTCCCCCCACTATTTCCGATCAGGCCGGGGAGAAGGTCCCGGGAAGAAAGATGATGGCAGAGGAGATGACAGTAAAGGGACAGGTCCACCTACCCAGAACAGCAACATTGGCACAGGAAGAGGGTCAGAAAGTGACTGCAGTCCTGAAGACAAGAACTCTGTCACTGCCAAACTGCTGCTGGAGAAGATCCAGTCAAGGAAAGTGGAGAGGAAACCTAGTGTGAGTGAGGAGGTGCAGGCCACCCCTAATAAAGCTGGGCCCAAGCTCAAAGACCCCCCACAAGGTTACTTTGGGCCCAAGCTCCCCCCATCTCTTGGCAATAAGCCCGTCCTTCCACTGATAGGGAAGCTCCCAGCTACCCGAAAGCCCAACAAGAAATGTGAAGAGTCTGGCTTGGAAAGGGGGGAAGAGCAAGAACAGTCAGAGACGGAAGAAGGGCCCCCAGGGAGTAGTGATACCCTTTTTGGGCATCAGTTCCCTTCAGAGGAAACAACTGGCCCCTTATCAGAGCCACCCCCAGAAGAACCAAAGTCTGAAGAAGCTACTGCTGATCATCCTGTGGCTCCACTAGGCACCCCGGCACACTCTGACTGCTACCCTGGGGACCCAAACATCTCCCATAGCTACCTCCCCGACCCCAGTGACGGGGACACCCTGGAGTCCCTGGATAACAGCAGTCAACCAGGCCCTGTGGAATCCAGCTTGCTGCCTATAGCACCAGACCTTGAGCATTTCGCCAGTTATGCGCCTCCCAGTGGAGATCCTAGTATTGAGTCAACAGATGGGGCTGAGGATGCTTCACTGGCCCCCCTGGAGAGCCAGCCCATCACCTTCACCCCTGAGGAGATGGAGAAGTACAGCAAGCTCCAACAGGCTGCACAGCAACACATCCAGCAGCAGCTTCTGGCCAAGCAAGTAAAGGCCTTTCCAGCCTCAGCTGCCCTGGCCCCAGCCACACCAGCCCTGCAGCCCATCCACATTCAGCAGCCAGCTACAGCCTCTGCCACCTCCATCACAACTGTTCAGCATGCCATCCTACAACATCATGCTGCAGCAGCTGCTGCCGCCATTGGCATTCACCCCCACCCCCATCCCCAGCCACTTGCCCAGGTGCATCATATTCCCCAGCCCCATCTGACCCCCATTTCCTTGTCCCACCTCACTCACTCAATCATCCCTGGCCACCCTGCCACCTTTCTCGCTAGCCATCCCATCCACATCATTCCTGCCTCAGCCATCCATCCTGGGCCGTTCACCTTTCACCCTGTCCCACATGCTGCCCTCTACCCCACTCTGCTTGCCCCACGGCCTGCTGCAGCAGCTGCCACCGCCCTCCACCTTCACCCACTACTTCACCCCATCTTCTCAGGTCAGGACCTGCAGCATCCTCCCAGCCATGGCACATGAGTTGGGGATGGGATCCTATGTAGGGCCAGGGAAGGAGAACCATAAATGTTCCCTTGGGGGTGTTGAGCCATTAGTACCAGCAAATAGAAGCTGGGATGGGCAGTGTCTGGCAGCCAAAGAATTGAGTTTTGGCTTGCAGGGGTGGGTTTAGATTTGAAGTTTGCTTTGAGTTTACTATCAGGGATTTCTTTTTTCCTGTCCTTCTCTCAATTTGTCCCTCCTTCTGCTGTGTTTCTAAGCTAGGGAACACCAGTAAGTGCTACCCACCCCTCTGCAGCGACATCTCCTAACTGTCAAGTTTAGATAATTCCTTCCTCCCTCTGCTTTTTATCCTCTGCGCTTCCCTTCTATAAAGTTTTAAACATTTTCCTCCTCTCTGGGCAGTGGGTTGTCACCAAAGCACTTGCTGTGGGCCCATCTGGTCTTGCCTTCTCAGTGCCACAAGGAAGGCCAAGCTGTTCTCGTGGTGGAAGTGCCACCACTTTGGAGTAGTATCTTTGACCATCCTTGGTGACCTTATGTTATCCCAGGTGAGGTGGAAAGGGAGTCTGACCTGGAACCTGATGCAGCTCAGGCTGCAATTCGATCCAGCCCCACATAAACGGGGCCACACATTTGGCACTGTTATCCTGATGTCCCTCACCCCAGAGGAGGCATCTCCATATCCCAGAAAAGATCCTATCATGAATAGAAGCTCTGCGGAGTATACAGTTGCCCGTGTGCTTTCCCAGAGAGGAGTTCATGTGTCTGAAGTGAAGGGTATATTTTCTTCTGTTGTGTTGATGTTTCCTTTTTAATTTATAGGATTTTTTAATGTAAAAAATTGCACTGAACTCTATAAACGTAAATGCTGCTTTTTGTAGCTCATATAAAAAAGGTTCCATATTTGTAGTATACTGCAATAATATTTTTTACATCCAGCTCTTTAAGTGATCCTCGTTCTGGTGGCTTTGTGTAAATATGTTTGCCTTAGTTGAATTAAGAAACTTTAAAGGTTATAAAATGAAAACAAAAAATAAAAGTATTTGTTTTCTGCTAGGTGCAAAACTGACTAAGCATGTATATTTTACCAAGCTCCTGTATTTTTTGAAGTTATGAACTATAAAATGTTAAAACATTTTTTGCTGGGACAAAATGTTAAGTAATTTGCAGTAAGTAGTGCCCCCGGTATTGGGATTTTTGAGCTAATGGGCAGCAGTCAGCTCGGGGTTTCCGAGGGATGCTCATCTTTGACAGTCTCCCTTGGGTACTTTTGTTGTTTTACATAGAGAAACCAGTGGACCCCCCAGAAGAGAAGGAGGGGACTCAACAGCTTTATTGACTGAATCTCACAGCAGTGACATGCAGTGATTTTCTGGGGGGATCCTGGGTTTCCCTGGGTACCTTGTTCCAGGCAGTCAGTCTGTTTGCCTTCCTAGTACTTAGCCTCCCCTGACAGTTTTTTTTTTTTTTAATGTGCCTTTTGGGTTGTTAGAAACTGAAGTAGAAGTAGACTGAAGGATGAGTTGGGACAGTCTTCTTCCTTTTATTGGGAGGTAAGCACATTTATAGATACTTCAAATTGTTTTGCTTCATAGTTTCCGTGCCCTCTGCCCAGCTCAGTTTAAGCAGTAAACGTTCCTTGTTTCTTTTCCATGACACTGACCAGCGGAATTACCACCTAAGCCTCCTTCACCCCTCTTCTTGCCTTTCATCCAGGCCCTCAGCCCTAATTAACACACTGACCCAAAGGTGCTTGTATTGCAGGTTCCATCTCCTTTGATGAGGTTAACAATTCCCTCTGTGGCATTTTCCTAACTATTCCTGTAGCTAGAATTGGCTGGGTGGTCACTTGACAAGAAAAACTTTGCTTACCTGGGCCAAGGCTCTGTGTTCCTGCCTTCTCAGATTCTCAAAAGAGAAAGGTTTTGAGTTTATGAGAAGAAAGTGCCAGGCAAACACAACTCTTGACTGCCCTCCCTCCTACCTATTCAGTGCTCCTCGTCTGATTCAGAAGCATCACTTCTTGGATAACTAGCACTGGAAAAACAAAATCATCTGTGAGTGAAGGGACTCATTTTTCTTTGCTTTCAGCCCATGTAAATATTTAAATAATACAGTATTAATATTTTGTGCTGCTTCCCATTAGCTTGTAGATTGAGCCATACTCTGGCTGCCTCTTTGCCTTCCTAGAGGCATTTTCCTTAACTTCCAGAATAGTGATTTTAAAACTTAAAAAAACAAAATAACCTATCCTTACTTACAAGCATAACAGATTGTATTTAACTTTATCACATATGATAGAGATATATATGCTGTAAAATGAGGGAAAGGAACTTTCTAATAAACCAATGATTTGTGGAAACTTAGCAGTGTCTGTCGTAATTGTTGCCCCATCCACTCAGCGTTGGGTAGGGTTGGAAGTGTGGGTCATAAATAACATCTTGTTTGAAGTGACCAAGGAACAGATCCTATGAACCAGTTTGAGTTGTTTGCAGTTGTGCTTCTGAAAGCTCAGGCTACGCAAAGAGAGAGGAAAGATCTTGGTGTGGGAGGAGGTAATAGTAGTTAATTTCTCTCAGTTGTAGGTAGATGTATTGGAATGTACACCTCCTTTCCACTTCGTCTTTCCCACAAGAGTTTTCTTCCATTTCCTTCCATTTTAGATATGTAATCTGTGTGTAGTAGTGTATATAGAGGTGCTTACTAAATGGGTGTGGAATTTCTGGCTTTGAATTTTAGGATTTTGGACTACTTTAAGAGCACTGAGATTACAAGAATCATCTGCCAGGATTTTGTCCTCCAGGTGGAGTTCTGTAAGCCAGTCTTCAATTACTCTCCTCAGCCTTTTAATATCACTACAATGTTTGAGCCCCGCTACCTGGTGAAAAGAAATAATTGTTACTAAGAAGATAAAGCCCCTACTCTTCCATATCAAAAAAATCACAAAAGAGGCAGGGAAAATTTAGCATGGAAATCTACCATAGATTTGTAGTGATAAATGAGTTTTCCCTCTCAACTTCAGCCTTTCAAGAAGGAAAGGCTTTCTTTCCTACTCTATTTTGATACATTTCTTTCCTACTCTCTGTTACACCTGTGTTCTCCCCTTGATTAAAGAGAAGCTGTTCAACTTGAACCTGGGGGTTGAATGCTTAGATCTGCCTGTATTCCTAAAATAGCAAAGATCCTTACCCAGAAAGAAGTGACGTTAGACATACAAAAATTAGCCGGGCATGGTGGTGCACACCTGTAATCCCAGTTACTTGAGAGGCTGAGGCAGGAGCATCGCTTGAACCCAGGAGGCAGAGGCTGAGCCAGGATCACACCACTGAACTCCAGCGTGGGCAGCAGAGCAAGACCCTTTCTCTCTCTCTCTCTCTCTCTCTCTCTCTCTCTCTCTCTCTCTCACACACACACACACACACACACACACACACACAATGACATTAGAAAATGAAAAATGAGGCCAGTGGTGGTGGCTCATATCTAATCCCAGCACTTTGGAAGGCTACGGCGGGTTGATCACTTGAGGTCAGAAGTTTGAGGTCAGCCTGGCCAACATGGTGAAACCTTGTCTCTACTAAAAAAAAAAAAAAAAAATTGGCTGGGCATGGTGGTGCATGCCTATAATTCCAGCTACTCAGGAGGCTGAGGCAGGAGAATCACTTGAATGTGGGAGGTGGAGGTTACAATTAGCTGAGATCATGCCACTGCACATCCAGTCTGGGTGACAGAGTGAGACTCCGTCTCAAAAAAAAAAGATTTTCTGGGAGCAGGGTAGTTGACAAGTCAGAGGCAGACTGGACTGTATAGAGTGTTATGTGAAGGTATGTGCAATTAATTGCCTTCTGACAAGGCCTCAGCCACCATGGCCTGAAACATGAAGTACTCCCTCTTCTATATCCTTAACTAATTCAGGCCTCCTCAGCCATTTCCATTTGTATTTGCCAGAGATAGCTTCACTCACTTCTACCAACTCATATCTCAATTATTGCAGCATTTTTCTGGGTGGCTTCCCTGACTAGGACCTAATTCCCCGTTCTGTGTAAGCTTACTGGCTTTTCAGAATCTGAATGCAACTCATTTTGTATTCACTGCTTCCCAGTAAAATTGTGATCTCTGAGAGAGCAGGGAGTGATTTTTTTTTTTTTTTTTTTTTTTTTTGAGACAGAGTCTCGCTCTGTTGCCAGGAGCCAGGCTGGAGTGCAGTGGTTCGATCTCGGCTCACTGCAACCTCCACCTCCCGGGTTCAAGCAATTCTCCTGCCTCAGCCTCCCAGGTAGCTGGGACAACAGGCACACGCCACCACACCCAGCTAAATTTTTTTTGTATTTTTAGTAGAGAGGGGGTTTCACCATGTTGGCCAGGATGGTCTCAATCTCTTGATCTCATGATCCGCCCACCTTGGCCTCCCAAAGTGCTGGGATTACAGGCTTGAGCCATTGTGCCCAGCTGGGAGTGATTCTTATATTCCTCCCCAGCATATCTCACACTGAGTAAATAGTAAACATTTGATTGTATGTTCAAGAATATGAGCAAAGTGGCCAGGCTCATGCCTATAATCCCAGGACTTTGGGAGGCCAAGGTGGGAGGATCATTTGAGCTCAGGAATTTGAGGCCAACCTGGGCAACATAGTAAGACCCTGTCTCTACAAAAAATTTTTTAAATTAGCTAGGCATGGAGACGCATGCCTGTGGTCCCAGCTATTCATGAAGCTGAGGTGGAAGGATTGTTTAAGCCTAGGGGTCATGTCTGTAGTGAGCTGTGATCAGGTCACTGCACTGCAGCCTGGGTGACAGAGCGAGACCCTGTCTCAAAAAAAAAGAACATAAGCCAAGTCAAATACCATTAACTGAAGATTGTGCTTCAGGATTGAGGCAAAAAAAATTTTTTTTTAATTATTTTTAAAAATTTAACCTTCACATCACTTAGCTCAGTGCCAGGCATATCATAGAAGCTCACTAATTGTTGACTAGATGAAGCCTTATCTGAATTCACTGTAGAATTATAGGACTCTTGTCAGCACTCCTCTGCCCAGTCTCAGGAAGGAGATCAACACAGCTCTGACAACGAAGGAACACAATCCGTATTGAGTAGCAAACTCGTTTCCCTTCCCAAAAATCTGATTCTCCCTCCACCTGTTTCCAATTGTAGTTTATGGTACCACTGTCCTGCCAGACAGGCACCAAAGCTTCAAATTACCTTTGACACCTTCCTTCCAAATCTATTTACTGATTCCATAATCTCTGCTGTCTTGTTCTTGCCACCAGTACCCTGGCCTCATCATCTTTAATCCAGAGAACTGCAGTCATTACCCATCTGGTCTTCCCACTAAGTCCTTCCTTTTCTAGTTCGTTCTATCCACAGGCCGGCAGCCACTGTAATCTTCCACATTGGAGCATAATTGGTCATTAAATCTCTTACCCCGTGACATTTAAAAATTTTTTTTCTTTGAGACCGAGTGCCTGTCGCTCAGGCTAGAGGGCAGTGGCCTAATCTCGGCTCACTGTAACCTCCATCTCTGGTTCAAACAATTCTCCTTCCTTGGCCTCCCAAGCAGCTGAGATTATAGGTGCACACCACCACCACGCCTGGCTAATTTTTGTATTTTTAGTAGAGATGGGTTTTGCCATGTTGGCGAGGGTGGTCTTGAACTCCTGGCCTCAAGCAATCTGCCCGCCGTGGCATCCCAAAGTGTTGGGATTACAGGTGTGAGCCACCATGCCTAACCACCCCCTCAAAAAAATGTTTTTTAAGATATAGCCTCACTCTTGCCCAGCCAGGCTGGAGTGGAATGGCAAGATTATAGGTCACTGTAACCTAAAAGTCCTGGGCTTAAGTGATTCTCCTCCCTCAGCCTCAGTACCTGGAACTACACGTGTGCACCACCATGGTTGCCTACTTTTTATTTTTTTGTAGAGACATGGTCTCGCTATGTTGCACAGGCTGGTCCCAAACACCTGGCTTCAAGCAATCCTCACCTTGGCCTCCCAGAATGCTGGGATTACAGGCATGAGCCACCACATCTGGCCTAAAAATCTTTGATTTTCTTTTTTTTCTTTCTTTCTTTTTTTTTTTTTTTTTATTGTTGTTCTTGAGATGAAGTCTCACTTTGTTGCCCAGGCTGGAGTGCAGTGGTGAGATCTCGGCTCACTGCAACCTCCGCCTCCCAGGTTCAAGTGATTCCCCTGCCTCAGCCTCTGGAGTAGCTGGGATTACAAGCAGACACCACCACACACGGCTAATTTTTGTATTTTTAGTAGAGATGGGGTTTCACTATGTTGGCCAGGTTGGTCTTGAACTCCTGACCTCATAATCTGCCCGCCTCGGCCTCCCAAAGTGCTGGGATTACAGGCATGAGCCACCATGCCTATCCAAAATCTTTATGATTTTCCATCTCCCATGGATTAAAGTTCAGATTCCTTAATATTGGCATTCAAGGACCTCCAGTGATTTGAACTCCCAAGCCTTCCTTTCCCCCTTGCACCTCAGTCTACCCCTTTAAGCACTCTACTATACTGAGTCAACTACTTGTCCTTCCCTGTAACTGACCTCTGTGTTCCTTTGCTGCTCTCATATATTCTCTGAGCCTAAAAACCCATTCATTCTCTGACAAAAGGCGATTTGAAAATGGGTTCAAGTGCAACCCAGGTTTGAATCCTAGTTTTGCCAGCTGTTGGCTGTGTAAACATGGGCAATTTACCTAAAAACTCTTGTGTCACAGTTTTTGTGTCATAAAATAGGCAAAATAGTACTTATTTCCTAGGGTTGTTATGAGGAACAATGATATATGACTTTGATAATCTGTGTATTTTTCAAGGCATGCTTTACTGTCCTTTTGCTGCAGTTATGTGTGTTCATGGCTTAACTCTTTCTGAGCTATTTGTTAAGGCTCCTTGATAGCTATCTTTGGGTTGTTTGGTTGGTTGGTTGTTTTTTGAGACGGAGTTTCGCTCTGTCGCCCAGGCTGGAGTGCAGTGGTAAGATCTCGGCTCACTGCAACCTCCGCCTCCCAGGTTCAAGTTATTCTCCTGCCTCAGCCTCTGGAGTAGCTGGGATTACAAGCACGCACCACCACACCCGGCTAATTTTTCTATTTTTAGTAGAGACGGAGTTTCGCAATATTGGTCAGACTGGTCTCGAATTCCTGACCTCGTGATCTGCCTGCCTCGGCTTCCCAAAGGGCTGAGATTACAGGTATGAACCACTGCACCTGGCCCAGAGTTTTTTTAATATTTTATTTTTACAATTTTAAAATAGATACGAGGTCTCACTGTATTGCCTAGGCTGGTCTCAAACACCTGAGCTCAAGCCATCCTCCTGCCTCAGCCTCCCAAAGTGCTGGGATTACAGGCAAGCGCCACCGCA